ACTTTTGGATGAATGACCAGGATATTGAATCGAAAGCCTTCTCAAAGTCAATTAGAAGAAGCAGCCCTGGGATATTTTCCTCTTCTGTATATTGCATAATATCATAAATGGTTCGAATATTTTCTGAAATATTTCTACCTTTTATAAAACCTGTTTGATCAGAATGAATTATTTTGTCTAAATGTTTTTTAATTCTATTTGCAATTATACCAGATGCAATTTTATATACAGTATTCAATAAAGAAATTGGTCTCCAGTTTTTTAGAAATTGTTTTGGTTTGTCTCCCTTTGGTAGACATGTAATGATACCATGCCGTTGTGTTATACTTAGATTATTAATTAGATAACCATAATTAATTGACCTTACTACAAAAGTACCTAAAAGTTTCCAAAACATTTTTAAAAATTCTGATGTGAACCCATCTGAGCCTGGTGATTTATTAGACTTCATTTTATATAATGTTTCCCCTGCTTCTTCTAATGTGATATGACCCTCTATAGATTTGGATTCTTCCTCTGAGAGTTTAACTATGTCTGGATATTTATCTTCCTCCTCCAAATTGACATTTTGTATAGAGTCATCGATGTTTCCATATAACTTTTGATAAAAGTGTTTTGTTTCTTTCAAAATATCAAACTGATTATAAATAATGTCTCCGTTATCCAATTCTACTCTTGGGATAATTTTATTGAGGAAATTTCTGGATTCTAAACTACAAAAATATTGTGTTGGTTTTTCACCTTCTTCAACCTATCTTGCTCTAGACCGAATATAAACACCAGCCATTTTTTGTTTTCTTATATTTTCTAATTCTTTCTTTTTACTATCAAGTGCATCTACATCTAATGCAGTTGGTTCACATCTCTCAAGATTTTGGATTTCTTCTATGAGCTTTTCTTCTTTTTTTATTCTAGATTTTTTTTTTTAAAGGATGAGTAAGAAATACATTTACCCCTAATTTCCATAAGGAGAGTCTCCAAAAATAATTGATCATTTATTGTAAAAGTAATTTCTTTATCGTCAATTAGATTAAAATTTTCAAAATTGTAAATAGGCGCTGCATATTGTTTTTTAACATTTTCTATGACATTTTTTATTGTTTTTAAAAACTCATCGTCATACAAAAGGGAATTATTGAACTTCCATAACCCTTTACCTTTCTTGAAGTCATTAAAAATTAGATTCAAACTAATCATTGAATGGTCAGACCTATAACTGGGTTCTATGGAGCTTGCTCTAACACTAGATAATAAGTTTCCTGATATAAGAAAGAAATCTAATCTACTTTGTTTCAATGGAGATTTCTTTCTCCAAGTATATCTTAAGGTATCCGGATGAAATTCTCTATATACATCTACATAGTTATTATCTTCAATGAGTTCAATAATCTTTTGTCTTGCATTTGGATTATTCACATTTTTATAATTAAAACAATCTAATTCAGGTTTCAATACTAGATTAAAATCACCACATATTATAATGTTCTCAGATTGAAAATCTTCAATATATTCTTGAAGTTTAGAATAGAAAGCTGGGTTATCATTGTTTGGCCCATAAACACAACACAGTAGTAACTTTTTTTTCATCTGTGGTAAATTGTAATAAAAGGTAATTAACAAAAACTGCGAAACCTTGTTATACATATATCATGTCTACAGAACACCACCTTTAACCACTTTAAAGACGATTTGGCTACAGCCTAATAATGTGCGAGGACAAGACACTACCGATCATATTGGTGAATTTAAAAAAAAAATGACCAAACGCATATTAATCAACCACATTAAAATACGGGCAATGAAAATAGATTCCTGTGTCTCAATATAAACATGTATGTTTTAGATAGCCAGTGTCTAAATATCTGCAAATATCTCGTTGATAACTCAAATAACAAAAGAGCTATGCCCAAAATGATGCTAAAATTGTCACAAGTGAAACCTTACATTAAGTACCCGGTACTAAAAATAACTTTATATTTTAAATATTTTTATGTAAAATGAAATATTAAAAAACATTCAGTGATGCTCTATGCATGTAAAGCATCGTTAATTAAAATAAATGCATGTTAAATGATTATTTAAAAAAAAAACAATCATAATTGAGCTACATATGCAGTATTCAGTTTTGTACTAGTATTCAGCATTAATTTAAGGTACATATATGTGAAGTCATTCTTCTTCTTCCGTTTATTTGAATAAATATCCATGAGGTAGGCTTACGAAAATGAGTATTCAGCATTGAGGTGCATATTCTTTCCTTTTCTCCAAAGAAAATTATATATTTAGGACGTAGACTTGGATCTACACGGATTATCTCCGTTACACACTGTATCACTCCGCTGTGATTTCCTGTTCCGGTAATGCACAATGAGGATAAAGATGAAGGCCATAACTCCAGTAAGGATATTTAAAGATCGACCCCAAGAGAGGCAATAAAAATAGAATACGGAAAATCAATCCGATCCGGTACACGAAAAACGAGATTATTTCATCGATGTTCGTTATATCGGCTCCTCGTAACTTTCTTTCAAGATCAGCTAATTCTGAGCGGTGTATTCTTTTAAATTCGTCTGTCACTCGAGTTACCATACGTCCAATTCTACCAATGAGCACAGTCTCTGATACGACTGAAACACAGTATTTGATGTACGAATTATTTGTCAATCCATAAATGATTTTTTTCCCAAAGTCAACTCTTCAATCCCTTAAGGTAGGACAAAACATCCGTGGATTCTATTTTAACCCATTTCTTAAAAAGTACTAGAGAAAAAAAGAATAATATTACTATGTTGATAACAATGAATGATCCCTGAAAGAAAAATAATTAGTTTTGGCATATTAGCCTTATATTTTGTGAAAAAAAAAACCAGAGAATCCTATTTATTGGGAACTTGGGAGCTTACATTTAGGAATGTGTTTACGCTAACTAAGTGCAATAAACAAGCATGTAACAGTCTGTTATAAAATGCAGTGCAACTATTGTTCCATAAATAACTAGAGGGGTGATATTTGGACACATATATAAGGGTCTCTATTCTTCATGCACTACAAAGGTAAAGGTCATATCAAGAGGTTAAAGGTCAAATATTGTGACATCATCTACTGAATCTTTAATTTTTTTTTGCTGTTGAATTTGTTTTAATCGCCAAAATATCTAAAACCACCGGTTCAATTTTCTTTATTTTTACACATTTTATTCTAGGACCCATTTGAATCATTCCGTTGATTTTTTTATAAAAATTGAATTATACATTTTCTGTCAAGAAAACTTACACTGCCGGATATTTACATGTGAATTTTCAGTTTCTGACACAATGTATGTTCTATTTTACTTAATATTTCACCCAAAATTCCCAAAATCAATGTGACTTACTGATTTAAAGTAACAAAAAGGTTATCTTTATTAAAAGTATTACACAAATTTGCAATAGATCAATAGAAAATTCTAAAATAAGGCTCATTCTCAAGTCGAATGCATGTCTGATTTCACAATCTTCTTACAGTCGTCTGATAGGCCAAAAAATGTGCGGTTGAATTTTTTTCATATCATATATAAAGAAGGATTTTGTATCAAAGAACAAAATATCAAAGTTTAAGAAAAATTGAATTTGAGGGAAAATTTGACCTACATATTTGGTCCTACCTTAAAAGATGACTTGTGAAATGTATTTTATTATCTTTGACTTAGAAATGAATATTATTTATAAGTACAATTATATACGTATATCTACCAGACAGTTTAATTAACTATATTACATGTAATTTATTAGAATTCAAAAATAACTTACTTGCTATTAGCATCAATATTGCACTTGTGACCGTTTTAGATGGATTGAGTGAAAATATCCTAAAGTTGACCAGCTCTAGCACGAACACTGCTCCGCACAGAATGATAGCGAAAGTACTCACTATCTGAATCTCGGGTATAGAGGCTGGAAAAAGGACATTGTTTTGGTAAAAAAAAAATTCTTTTCAAAATTACTTTCAGTAAGGTACATTGATACTCTGATAAGAGAGATAACTCTTAAGGACACAAATGTCTATTATTCCTTTATAAATTTGTCAAGTTTAAGTGCCCCTTTTGTCAAATTTTGCCCCGCTAACCATGTTATAATTGTTTGTATTTTATTCAGTATATACATTTCCTTTGGAAAATCATAAATGTTAAAGAAAAATTCCATATGAGTGAGCAGAGGGTTTATGATCCTTAACTTTGATTGTTCTTACTCTCATATTTATATATTCTATTTAGGTTCACGTATAGATTTTCCCTTGTTATTTACACAAATAAATACGTAAAATAAAAAAAAAACATTATCCGCAGAAAACGTGTGTAAATTGAAATCTGAAAAGATATAACCATTTCATATTGGATATCATTTAAAATGTTAATTTTATTCTTCAACTATTTCCATCAAAAAGGATCAATACAAATTCCTCCTGGATTGTTAATTTATTTATTTATTTTTTTTTTTTTTTTTTGCACTAAATAATTTTAATTAATTTTTTTTTGCACTAGATAAATAAGAAATTGAATGAAGATGAACTTCTTTCAAAATCTTGATATATCAGTACAACCTTTAAGGTTACCACATTAATGTCATTACAATTCTGGAAACTAGAAAAAAAATATTATTAACTCACGCTGGTTTGACGGGTAAGATTTTGGATCCGCCATATCCCAGGAAATAGCAATAAGGTCACATGTCCTAGTAGATTCACAGGTTACGTAACAAAATAGGCTCATTTTTAAGCTCATCTGAAATGAAAGTGAAAAAAAGGACGTACAGTAAAACAAAATTATACATGTAACGCATGTTTTGATGAAATCACACTAACAGAGAAAAGATTTTCATTCTACGTGCTTTTCTGTATATTTATTTTAATCAATACATGCCATCCCAAATTAAACGCAGAATACACTGTAGGTGCATTTATTTTTTATTTTTATTTTTTTAATTTTTTTTTTTTTTTTTTTTTTTTTGGTTTTTTTTTTGGTTTTTTTTTGGTTGTTTTTTGTTTGTTTGTTTGGTTGGTTTTTTTTTTTGGCATCATAAAGATAATTCAAACTGATTATCGCTAAAATTCAATTCATTTTTGGATCGACAAGCGTTCATCATGTTCATTACATTATAAAATTACAAAATTTAATTCATGATTTTATATTCAAGCCATTTTTTTTAAAATAAAAAAATAGCTTCATTTGCGTTTTGCTAAAAATTATACTTATACAGTATCAAAGAAAATTATAAAACATGTCTCAAATATAATTTTGTTATCTGTTTAAGGACGGATGATACAAACCTTTTTTTTTTCTTTGGAGGAGACATTATTTTATGTCACAAGTTTAGAAAAGAAAATGATTTTTAAAACTTTTTCTCGTAAGAAGTGGAAAATGACATAGACTTGGTAAATATAAGAAATATTTCAATATACACTGTAATTACAAATATGGATATAACACACTCTGCACAGGTTTAAAGATGAAAACAAATTTCAGAATTTTACCTTGGTGCTATAAGTGTAATAGAAGCTTTTGAAAAATATACCAAGCCTGGTGAATTTTATGAGGAAAAGCAAAATGGTAAAAATCAGCCTATGTAATATTGCTGATTTTTTGTCATTTTGTTTTCCTCGTAAAATTCACCTGGTTTGGTATATTTTTCTAAAGTTAATATTGCACTTCTAGTACCAAGGTAATATATTCTGAAATTTGTTTCACTGTAAACCTTTATCGAGTGTTATTTGTCTATTACATTTTCCAGTACTTAGGAGAATTTTTTTAAAAGAATTATATCCATTTCTAAACTTGTGACATGATATTAAGTCTCTTCCAAAGAAAAAAATCTGTTTGTATCATCTGTCCTTAAGTGGAAAAATAACTTATAACATTATATAATAATTATTATTAATTTACTTACTCCAGTAGGATACAAGTTGTTTCTAACGTAGAAAACTATCCAGTCTGGAGTTGCCATGGCAAGAAGCCAAATGATGAATGTTAAACCGATCATAATTAAACAACACATAACCATTGGGCGATTCTGTTTCTGTCTCTGAAATATATTAATATAAGTGAAATCTGCATCTTATGGTGGCATATTTCTGCCCCCTACATGCAAGATAAATTATGTTCACATGCAAGATAATAATGTAGACATGCAACATATTTATGACAACATGCAAGTTAATTATGTTGACATGCAATTAAGTTAACAATCTAATAAGAAAATATATTTTTAATATTGTCTAATTTACTTACAAACACCCGTGTCTGACATCGTACATGCAACATAAAAAAGTAGACATGCGACTTGTTTATGTCAACATGCAAGATAATTATGTCAACATGGGACTTATTCATGTTATGTTAAATTATATTTCCTTATTAGATAAATTATGTTCACATGCAAGATAATTATGTAGACATGCAACATATTTATGACAACATGCAAGTTAATTACGTTGACATGCAATTAAGTTAACAATCTAATAAGAAAATATATTTTTAATATTGTCTAATTTACTTACAAACACCCGTGTCTGACATCGTACATGCAACATAAAAAAGTAGACATGCGACTTGTTTATGTCAACATGCAAGATAATTATGTCAACATGGGACTTATTCATGTTATGTTAAATTATATTTCCTTATTAGATAAATTATGTTCACATGCAAGATAATTATGTAGACATGCAACATATTTATGACAACATGCAAGTTAATTATGTTGACATGCAATTAAGTTAACAATCTTTTTTTTTTTTTTTTATTTATAGTTTTTCCATGGTTTTACAAAAAGCAAAATGAGAGAGAGAGAGAGAGAGGGAGGAAGGAAGGGAGGGAGGGGGAGAGCGAGAGAGAGATATCAATTAAATAAATTCTTCCAATACTTCCATGCCTCATCAAATTTTTCTTGTTCATTGTTTTTCTTTGCTATTATTTTATTAGTGTCATATAATATTTTTATGGAGGACATCAACCCGTTCAAAGAAAGAGTATTGTTGGCACATCTCATACTGTAAATAAAATACTTAATTTGTAAAGCAATAAGAGTTTTCACTTTTTCTGACTTCACATGTGGTCCCAATATAAATTCTTTCTTTGAATATGTAATATATTTATGAATTCTGCTAAAACATAGAGTAGAAAAGGCTTCTAGTAAGCCCTGCACTACTTCACATTCCCAAAATATATGTTCAATAGTTTCAATTTCTTTTGTACAGAAGGTACAGATATTAGTATCAATTTTTTTAATTTTATGTAGAAATAAGTTTGTAGCTAGGATTTTATGATTTATTCGAAACTGAAACCATTGCAGTTTTGTATTTTGAGTGAGCTTAAATGGGAGAGAGAAAATATTTTCCCATTCAGCATCACTCAAATCGAAGCTACGGTTCCATCCAATTTTCCCTAAAGGTTCTTCTTGATTACTTTTTAAGATTTCATACAATTTTCTTGATTTTTTGGCGTTTAATATGGAGAACAGTTCTTGAGATATATGTGGGTAACTAAACTTTGATAAAGGCTTCTTTATTTTTTTTATCCATTCTCTAACAACTGCCAAGACTGCATTATATTCAAGAAAAAGAACTTTCATATCATATGTTTTATTAAAAGCAATCAAGTTCATAAGGATCCATCTTCGTTCAATAAATCATTAACACAATAAATATTATTCTCAAACCATTTTCTATAAAAAATAGGTTTTCTATCTATTATGAAATTAGTGTTGTAAAAAATTGGTTCCATAGCTACATTATATGTTGAATCTGAGTTTTTTTTCTGAAAAATATGCCCATGATTCCAACACATCTTTCCAAAACAAATTTTTAATAAATTTCAGTTTTCCTTTTACATATTCTGTACCACATAATGTTATTTTTTTTCATATCTAAGTCTAAAAGTGAATGTATACTGCTCTTTTGCATCACAATTTTCTTCACCCACATTAGTTTTAAAGACATAATAAATTCCTTGATGCTAACTATTTTTATACCACCGTCTTTGTAATTTTTTATGTATATTAATTTTTTCACTCTGTAATTATTTTTCCCCATAACAAAAGTAAAAAAAGTGTTTTCTAATTCCTTTAACTGAGCTTTAGAAGGATTTGGAAGTGAAGCAAAAATGTGGTTTAATTGTGGTAGAAGAAGGGTTTTCAACACTGTTAAACGCCCTAGTGGAGTGAGATTTCTGCGATTCCAGTTTATCATAGTTTTTTTTATTTTTTCAAACTTTTGTTTAAAGTTTAAATCACCAATTTTCTGTAAATCAACATCAAAATCAATACCAAGTAGTCTAAAAGCACTTTTTCCCCATTCTAAATCTACACCTACATCCAAAATGTGATTGCTATGTTTCATACTTCCTATCCATATGACTTGTGTTTTACTGTAATTGATGTGAAGTCCTGATATTTTAGCAAAATACTTCAAAGTTTTCAAACTTAATTGTAGAGACTGTGCACTACCATCCAATATAAGAGACGTATCGTCTGCCAACATAGTTATCTTATATTCTTTATCTAATACCTCGATTCCTTTTATATTTTTATTATTCCTAATTAAGATTGCTAATATTTCAGCACAAATCAAAAATAGATAGGGGGATAGTGGATCACCTTGGCGACACCCACGGTGTAAGAAGAAGGTTTCAGAAATATGTCCACCTTGATTAACTGCTGCTGTAATATTTGTGTAAAATAATTTTACCCACTTCTGAATAGAGTTACCAAATTTAAAAAATTGAAGTGACTTTTGGATGAATGACCAGGATATTGAATCGAAAGCCTTCTCAAAGTCAATTAGAAGAAGCAGCCCTGGGATATTTTCCTCTTCTGTATATTGCATAATATCATAAATGGTTCGAATATTTTCTGAAATATTTCTACCTTTTATAAAACCTGTTTGATCAGAATGAATTATTTTGTCTAAATGTTTTTTAATTCTATTTGCAATTATACCAGATGCAATTTTATATACAGTATTCAATAAAGAAATTGGTCTCCAGTTTTTTAGAAATTGTTTTGGTTTGTCTCCCTTTGGTAGACATGTAATGATACCATGCCGTTGTGTTATACTTAGATTATTAATTAGATAACCATAATTAATTGACCTTACTACAAAAGTACCTAAAAGTTTCCAAAACATTTTTAAAAATTCTGATGTGAACCCATCTGAGCCTGGTGATTTATTAGACTTCATTTTATATAATGTTTCCCCTGCTTCTTCTAATGTGATATGACCCTCTATAGATTTGGATTCTTCCTCTGAGAGTTTAACTATGTCTGGATATTTATCTTCCTCCTCCAAATTGACATTTTGTATAGAGTCATCGATGTTTCGATATAACTTTTGATAAAAGTGTTTTGTTTCTTTCAAAATATCAAACTGATTATAAATAATGTCTCCGTTATCCAATTCTACTCTTGGGATAATTTTATTGAGGAAATTTCTGGATTCTAAACTACAAAAATATTGTGTTGGTTTTTCACCTTCTTCAACCTATCTTGCTCTAGACCGAATATAAACACCAGCCATTTTTTGTTTTCTTATATTTTCTAATTCTTTCTTTTTACTATCAAGTGCATCTACATCTAATGCAGTTGGTTCACATCTCTCAAGATTTTGGATTTCTTCTATGAGCTTTTCTTCTTTTTTTATTCTAGATTTTTTTTTTTAAAGGATGAGTAAGAAATACATTTACCCCTAATTTCCATAAGGAGAGTCTCCAAAAATAATTGATCATTTATTGTAAAAGTAATTTCTTTATCGTCAATTAGATTAAAATTTTCAAAATTGTAAATAGGCGCTGCATATTGTTTTTTAACATTTTCTATAACATTTTTTATTGTTTTTAAAAACTCATCGTCATACAAAAGGGAATTATTGAACTTCCATAACCCTTTACCTTTCTTGAAGTCATTAAAAATTAGATTCAAACTAATCATTGAATGGTCAGACCTATAACTGGGTTCTATGGAGCTTGCTCTAACACTAGATAATAAGTTTCCTGATATAAGAAAGAAATCTAATCTACTTTGTTTCAATGGAGATTTCCTTCTCCAAGTATATCTTAAGGTATCTGGATGAAATTCTCTATATACATCTACATAGTTATTATCTTCAATGAGTTCAATAATCTTTTGTCTTGCATTTGGATTATTCACATTTTTATAATTAAAACAATCTAATTCAGGTTTCAATACTAGATTAAAATCACCACATATTATAATGTTCTCAGATTGAAAATCTTCAATATATTCTTGAAGTTTAGAATAGAAAGCTGGGTTATCATTGTTTGGCCCATAAACACAACACAGTAGTAACTTTTTTTCATCTGTGGTAAATTCTAATAAAAGGTAATTACCATCACTATCACCCTTCTGCTTAGAAACAGAAAAATCAAAATTGTTTTTAAATAAGACTGCTATGCCTCTGGAGTTAGAGGAGTATGAACTAAAGTAACATTCATAGCCCCATAGGTTCCTAATATCATTTTCTGCCTCTGGTGTGAAATGGGTATCTTGAAGACAGTATATATTATAGTTCATATTTCTTAAATAATGAAACACGTCTCTACGTTTGTTGATGTCCCCCAAACCTTGACAATTAACAGATAGAATTTTCAACGACATTTGCACATTTTTAATAATACATATTTACCTTTGATGAGACCGGAAGCCTTGGATTTATAGATATTGCTCTCTAAGGAAATTGAAACAAAAAAAGAAAAGAGAAGGAAAAGCAGAGAAACTGATAGAAAGACAGAAGAATAAAGCGTAGAAGAAGAAATAAAAGACATACAACAAAACAGTTCAAAAAAATGCGAGTGGATTTGGCCGTATAATATTGTCCGAGGCCATGCAGTGTTTATATTTTTCACATTCCATATGGCGATAAAATGCCTTAATTTTGGCCCCAAACACGACCACACTCACTATGCGTCCCACCCGATCGACGCCATTTTTAAACTCCATTAAGTTAACAATCTAATCTGATTGGTAACTTGCATGTTGACATAATTATGTTGCATGTTACATGTAACATAATTATTTTGCATGTTGAATTGTTGCATGTGAACATAATTTATCTTGCATGTAGGGGGCAGAAATATGCCACCATAGACATCGTAGATGCAAGAGTCAACATGATTAGGTATAGAAATGCGACTTACATGTATTTATGATAATGTCAATGACAATATGCAAGATAACTATGACAACATGCGACTTATTCTTATCAACATGCAAAATAATTATGAGATATGTATGTTGATTATATGCAAATTATTATCTTGATTATTGATATAAATAAGTCACATGTTTAATGCTTACAAAAATAAGTCGCACCATATATGTCTACTGAGACCTATAAAAAATATTCATAACTCAGATCCTCTGAAAACAGTTGAACTTTCGAGTCAACTTAATTATCTTGCATAAAAACATAAATATCTTGTATGTTAACATAGTTCTTTCACATGTTTGCATATTTTATCCTGCATGTAGGGGGCAGAAATGTGGCAGTATAGGTCCCTGATTCAGAACACGGGATAAATTACCGGAACCGGTTTTAATTGTAGACACACTGAAGCGTGCAGCTGACATTGAGTTGTTTACAAGCGTCTAAAACATTCAGACTGTCAACATTCAATGATCTCGTGTGACTGGTAAAGAGGCTACGTTTTCTATTTATTTACCGATGAATATTGGAATGCTTATGTTGATTCCATAGCTGAACATGTAAATTAGATCTTCTTTGGATCCATATTTCTCAAAATTTATTTTGTATTTGATCACAAAGCAATATGCATACACGATCGTTACTTCGTTGTTCCATTCCAAAGTTGAACGTGTTTATTACTAAGAAAAAAAGAGAGTGATCACCCTTATACATGTAGGCTATACTGGTTTTTTTTTTACTAGATGCTAAATTTTGTTTGAACTCTAGTTGTACACGTTGTCAGGGACATGTATAGACACTTACATAGGATCCTGACCCTGCCCACTACATTGCAGTGTTATTGCTGAAATATTTCTCTTACATGTATATTCAGAGATTGACTGTAACTCTTTTTCCAAAGTAGTTAAAAGCCAAAGGATTCTGATTTTCCTTTTGAACAAGGAGTGAGATAGTAGAATAACCTACATTGATCTAAGAGTGACAAGCCGTCACTTGTGTTTGTAGGACATTTTAATGATAATATGTTTGACGATGTGATCGTTCGGGCAAGCACAGTATACCTGAACCATTGATCCGCTTAATTGGCAGGGTTTGCGGAAACAGCCAAGTGTCTAGTTGAATCTATAGACCTAGTGCAATTTTTGTTGAAAGAAATTGGAGAGTTTTATAGATTTCTACAAACTGAAAGCCTTTTATGCTTTACGTTATTATTTATTAATTTGTTTGCGCAAGGGTATTGGGAAGCAAAGGAATTCTAGGAAGGTTTCACACAAAAATTTGCTTGATGTATGTAGTCATACATGTACATATTTAATTCCAAGTTTCCTCTTTTCTTACACGTTAGTCTATTGAGCTTGCTGCGCTCACTTTAACATTCTATCTAGGAGTGAGACTGCTGAAAGATGATTCAAAGTGAAATATGTACATAAATTCGATCTCTGTACCTTTTAGTCTTCTATAAGCAAATATACATGTACATTACGAAAAACAAATTTTTTAATGTATCGTTGTGTAAACTAAGTCCATACAAGGTACTAATTTCTTTGACCTGACTTCTTCAGTTAACAGCAGACATGGGTTGAAGCTTTAAGACTCCCAGGCCCCGCTGCTGCTGCTAGTACGTGTAGGAGAGGATGGATCCCGCGATCTCTTTCTGTGAGATTGATCTAGACGATCTCGAGTTTTATGAGAGATGTGGTGGCGGATCATTCGGGAGTGTTTACAGAGCCAAATGGAAGTCAGAAAACATCATTGTCGCTGTCAAGAAGTTACTGGTTTTGGATAAAGAGGTAAGTCTTCAGATATTTCTCATAAAACTTTTTATTGTACTTGAAAGTGTATTTTAATATCGTTTTTTTTAAGGCCTTTTGTGTCTTTGAAGAACTTTCTTGCAAAATAGGGTTACATGACTGAACTTGTCACTGTCATGTGTAATGTCCCAGTCGTGTATCATATGGGGAAAATTTAAAGCATTACAAATTTTTATGCCATATTTCCTCTTGGAATTTACATAGTTCTTGTTAATTCATACTTTATTTATTTCTCATGTACAGGCTCATGTATTGAGTTTGCTGAGTCACAGAAATATTATACAGTTCTACGGAGCTGTGATGGAGGAACCTAACTACTGCTTAGTTACAGGTAAATAAGACAGAGCATTTATCAATATTCAGGCTTAGTCCTTATAAATCTTTTTAAAAAATGGTAAATTAATTTGTTAGACACAAATGAAGCACTCAATATATACTTTTACATTGTATTGTAAATCATGCATGTACAGATTGTCAAATTTGTTTTGAAAACTTCAATTATTCTTTTCAAACTTATGATAATTCACTCTCATGTTAATAGATCTTACAGAGAGATTTAATATTCTGTTTGACAATGCCCTGAAATGACTTCAATGTGTTATTCCTCAGAGTTTGCAGAGAAAGGTTCCCTGTATGACTACCTACAGAATCCTGACAATGTAATGGATTTTCAGCAGATTCTTACATGGGCAACAGAGATAGCTCAGGGTAGGTGATAGTGATGGGGGAGGGGGCTGGAGTGGGGGTGGGTTACATGTAAATTTAGTGTAATTGTCAAGGAAATGTAACATTTATATGAAATATTTAATGGAAGGATTCTTTTGATTTTGCTACATACATTTTCTTTCTAAGTACATAAACTGAAAAGGAATGTCTGATACATGTACATGTATTAATACCAGGTAGTTAAAATTTTATTGAAAGATCTACCTCTAAAGAATTAACATTTTGTTTTAATATTTCAGGCATGAATTACCTGCATAATGAGGCACCTATGAAAATCATACACAGGGACCTCAAGTCCAAAAATGGTATAACTGCACCATCTTCCTGATTCTCAAATTTCAAAATGACCAAAGCCTTTAAGTACTGTTGGAAAGCTTTTTATAAGAATAAGAACTTTTTTGATGGCTAGCAAAGTGTTGTCAGTGTTTGTTTTACTTATGCAATTATAGACACAAAATTTTAGGAAAAAACCCAGATGATATCTTACGAAATCTGAATTAGAAGGATAGGTCCAATTTGATAACATGCTGTCTAAAAATGATATACATGTATTATTTATAAAACAAGAGGGTTTTTTTCTATCATTTACATTTTATCATTTTGTTAAACCTAACGTTTCAAGAGAAGCAATGATTTTCAAAAAGTATCCTCAATTAAAAATGTAAAGGAGGTACAAGAAACAATTAGCTTTGATTTGATTATGATGTTTTGTTTCTTTTTGTAGTTGTCATCTCGGTCCAGGGTGTGTGTAAAGTAAGGCTTATCTCTCTCTCTCTCTCTCTCTCTCTCTCTCTCTGAATTTAAAGTACGAGGGTTGTTCGGAAAATATTGAGACAATTACATTTACTCCATAAAGGACGGAGATAATTTCATGAAAATTCATCAACATCTTATAAAGAACGAATAAAACACTTAAGCAAAATTTCCAATTCCTACGATAATTAGATAAGTTTCGGTGAAGGAATAAATATGCATATGTCTATCGACCCGGAGCAGCCTCGTAATGTCACTTAACGTTATGTTAGCCGTAGATTGTTTCGCATGTGAAACGATCGGGAAGCGTTTAATATTCTTCCTTCTTTGTTATTACATATATGATAATACAAAAATCAAACAGTCTCTTTTCTTAAACTATTCTTTAAAAATGTATGATGTTGCTACGCCAGTCAAAAATTTTCATTTGTTGGAAAGGATGACTTGGAATCATGCAGTGCCAATTTATGCAACGCGGGTTAAATACCATAACGATATCAATACTGTACGTAATAACTCATGGTCGTCCAGATCTTCTAATTTTATTCTAGTTAAAATAATTGTTAAAAAAATGTATACCAATGAAATAACAAACCCTAACACATAAGTTTATTCTCGTTGTTATTGTTTTAGCAGGTTGTTCAGTCTTGAAAAGAGTTCTACATTGCACTTCACACAATTTTAGGTATGCTGGCTGCTCCGCCCTTCACGTCAAAATCCATTTTTTCGTTGTTAGCAGATTTCTCTACTGCGCTTAATTTTTTTATGATCTCCGTACTTCTGATCATAATTCTATCAAAGTTGCACAACATGAATTTGAACTAAAGTTGAAAAATTATACACTTAAACTGAATTATTTTCGCTCTCATTATGGATCCACGAAGAGTTAGAATTTTGGGGTTACATATTTTCAATATCTGATTCTGCGACTGTTCTGGGTACCCCTACTATTGACATATTTATATACCATTGTAGAGAAAATATTTAATATTTGTAAAATATTTCTTGCTCTTCTAATTTCTAGTGCATCTCAAACGTATATACCAATTTTCACCGAAAGACGTTCATTAGAAAGCAAAATATAAACAATGTCTCAATAATTTTCGAACAACCCTCGTATTTAATGTTTTATATACAAACAGTCTTTTTCGTTAAATTGAGGTTTCAATGAGCTATATATCAAATTGCAAGTGTCGGATGAATTTGTTTCTTTATAAGTGTAATTGATCATTATATAGGTTACTATAGTCTTGAAATAATAACTAACTGTGAACAACCTTGCATATTTTATGGATAAAGCAAAGTTATTTAGACCTAGTTGCCTTTATCTGTGTTTTACTGTGTTTATTTTGTGTCTAGATCTGTGACTTTGGAGCCTCCCGGTTTATGGGCAGTACCACAAAAATGTCACTGGCCGGAACATTTCCCTGGATGGCACCTGAGGTATCTGAAGAATTAACCATTAAAATGGATTCCTCGAAGTTTAAATTATCGTAGTATTTTGACATTTATTGTCAAGAGTTGTCCCTTTATAACCTTTTGCATTCTGTATTAGTTTCCGTTTTGATATAACTTGGAATGTATGTTGTATAGGAAGTCCCAAGTTACAAGGAAAATGCACCTTACATGTGTTTTATTCACAAAGAGCCTTTGTTTATTATTATGTTTTTTTACAGGTGATACAGAGTTTACCTGTCTCAGAATCCTGTGATACCTGGTCCTATGGCGTGGTAAGGACTTCTTTACCTGGGGGGGGGGGGGCATAATGAGAAAAGTAGGATATTTCTGAGGAGATGGAGCTAAAAATAAAGTTTTAATCCTTACTTGAGGAGAGAAAGATTATTGAACACATTTGCCTATAATTACAGAGTAAAATAAATTTTACAACAAGGCACATTAACTCTTTAAAAATTTGTATAAATCCAAAGTCAATGATATATGAAATTGTTTTTTAAGTCATTAATACATGTAGTTTACTCATTGTGATTTTGTTAAACATAGCAAAAATCTAGATAAGGCAAAATACATGTTTGTGATTTTGAAATAACTGGTTCTGAGAAATAAGAGGCGTAATTGCAGGTGTTGTGGGAATTACTGACTCATGAGGTGCCATACAGGGGGATCGAGGGGTTCCAGGTGGCCTGGCTGGTCGTGGAGAAAGGGGAGGTAAGTATGGGGCAACTAAAATACCATGGAATCATCTTAATTCGTGGAGTGTTAATGTTTGTGGGGATGTAATTAAGCGGGTTGCTTGAATATACAGATGATTTAATGAACAAATAAGTTGTCAAAATAATTTTTTCATGGGGATGTAGATTCATGGATAACATGGATAAGGGTGACCCAGGAAATATATGAACATTAATATTGATCTCAACAAACATGAATGGTTTTACAGTTTTCTACATGAAGGCATTTGTTTAATATGATTTCAGAATTGATCAAAGTTAATGCATAAATTAATCATAAACATTAAGTTTTGAAGTTAAACAATATGCATTCCATACTTTATATACACCTGTAGTATTTTATACTCTATGTAGAACAGTTGTATTTCATCATTTCATTTTTTAGTTAAAAAAAAATAATTACCTCTCAATTTCACTCTGAGGCACTGTTGGTATATTTCAGAGATTAACTATTCCCAGTACGTGTCCGCCATGTTTTGCCAAGTTGATGAGGCAAAGCTGGAACACTGACCCAAAATTAAGACCCAACTTCAAGGACATCCTCCTGACATTACATTCCATGTTAAGTGATGGTATGTTGTCATTACATTCTATTGGTGTACATTTTTTATCTCCATTTCTTTGTATGCATGAAATTTCAGTTGAGAGAAAAGTAAAATCAAAAAATGTAAATGATCCTTAAAACTTTACACATCCCAATATCTTCAAATGCTGCTTGAAAAGTATATTTTTTAGACTGTTCAAAATAAACTAAAATATCCACTTACGATGAATTTTATTTAAGATTTTATATTAAAAAAAAGAAATAATTGAACCTTGTTTGGTTGTAGATTCCCTACCAGATCAGACAAATTCCTTTCTAGAGCACAGAGAAGTGTGGAGGTAAAACTCTGTTTATACATGTACTTTACAGTAAAACTCATGTAAGGTGCCTCCTCCCTCTACTCACTTAAGGTGCCTCCTTCCACTACTCACTTAAGGTGCCTCCTCCCTCTACTCACTTAAGGTGCCTCTTCCCTTCACTTACTTAAGGTGCCTCCTCCCTCTACTCACTTAAGGTGCCTCCTCCCACTACTCACTTAAGGTGCCTCCTCCCTCTACTCACTTAAGGTGCCTCTTCCCTTCACTTACTTAAGGTGCCTCCTCCCTCTACTCACTTAAGGTGCCTCCTCCCACTACTTACTCAAATAAAATTTTACTTAAATACATATAGATACCAAAAATAATTTATAAATATGCAAACCATGGAAACCATCCCAGTGTAGCTTGGAGGGTAACATTTGACAAAAAATGGCTTGTCAAACTGATCATTTCATTTAGGAATGATAGAAATTTATCCAAGCTGGAGTTATCCCTCTTATCAGAGTAGAAGTGAACCTTAAAGTAAATCTTTGATGAATATCTGGTCAGAGATGTTGATTGCACAATTTTTTTGTAAAAATAGTTGCTTTTTCAAGGCATAATCATTATTAAAAATTAAAAGTGTAGCTTTCTCACAGCAGATGAAATAATCAATTTATTTCAGAAAAGAAATACAGGCCACCATAGAAAGACTAAAGAGAGCAGAGAGTAATTTGACTGCCAAAGAAAGGGAGCTAATGGAACGAGAGATTAAATTGTTAGAAAGGGAGAAAACTCTGGAACAACAATTCAAAGCTGTGGTAGATATACACCAAGTAGTGTTATAGGTTTTGATAGGACTGCTAGGTTTGGAGAATTTACATGTAACATTATTTATATAATGATGTCTGTATAAATTTTTTGCATAGTAGAAATATATAAGGTATACTGGGGCCAGTTTAACAAAAAAAACATTACAACTAAGACCAAAAACTTCAGATGATTGTAAAATTTTGCAAAATTAATAATTCTCTTTGATATTGATTGTGTAAAAATATATTAATAAGTTTAAAATAATTTTCAATATAATGTTAATTAAAAGTTACTAGAAAATGAAGAAATCAATCTGGTCTTAAATCATAAGTCCTTTTGTAAAACGGGCCCCTGCATTACTATGAATATTTCCCGGTGGCAAGTATTCTACTATTGTATGTATGAAATTTTCTGCACCAGGTACAATTCACAGCATTTTCACCTAAGGCCTTTGTTTCATGTTTTTTACAGACACATATACATTTACTCTGATTATTTTCAGCATTTGGATTCCTATGATGTCAATTCATGGAGTGAGATAGACGTGGTAAGTTTTAATTGATTCTCAGTAGTTACCATGGTAACACAAACAACTCACTGAAAAAAATAATTGTGAAATGTTCATGTAAGATACAGATATTTTTAAGTTTTTTTTTTCTCTTTTTGAAGAAAAGGAAAGGGAGAGGGTTCCTCAGAATTTATGCTACGTTTATTATGACTATGTTTGGTTCTGAATTTTCTATATAGTATCATTGCAGCGAAGTAAATTGAGAAACGTTCATTTTAACAAAACAAAATATGTTTTCTCTAATAAAATGATTGATATCTATCCTTGATGATTTATTGAATGGTTTTATTCTTTGAATATTTTTTGCATATGTTTTTTTAAAATTAATTAATACTATTTTTTGTAGTATCAGTGGATTCTCCAAATGCAGAATGGTGAGCATTTTAAACTAATTTAAAGTTTCATAAAATTTATCAATACCGTAAATCTAGAAATATTTTACTGTAAATTACTTTTTAGCAAATTTATGTACGAACTGCATTTGCAAATATATTTTTCTTAAAAATAAATCAACATGTAAATAAAAATTTTGCTGAAAACTGGTGTCTGTTTTTAACTACATGAACAGGTGTCCGTAAGCACTGGTCATAATAAGATACCTGTTTATACTACAAGCTAATTACCTGTGTCTATTATGTAAGACACTCTAGTGACCTTGCTCCATTTTTGTGTCCTCTTTGACCTTTAATATAATTACATTTTAGTGATCTAGGTCTAGTGACCTTGTTGTTTACTGTGTCCTTGACCCTTAACATTTATTATATAGGACACTCTAGTGACCTTGCCCAGTATGCAGGCATCTTCCTTCAGCACAACATTACTGGCAAGCGACTGATGATGTTGAATCTAGAACGCATCCAAGCTATGGGTGTTACCTCAACTGGGCACAGTATGGAGCTTATGGTAAGTCATGGGCAATCACAGATATGGGCATTACCTTAACTGGGCACAGTATGGAACTGATGTTAAGTCATAGGCAATCATAGATATGGGCATTACAGTGTACCTTAACTTGGCACAGTATGGAACTGATGGTAAGTAATGGGCAATCACAGATATGGGCATTACCTTAACTTGGCACAATATGAAACTGATGGTAAGTAATGGGCAATCACAGATATGGGCATTACCTTAACTGAGCACAGTATGGAACTGATGGTAAGTGATGGGCAATCATAGATATGGGCATTACCTTAACTTGGCAAAGTATGAAACTGATGGTGAGTGATGGGCAATCATAGATATGGGCATTAACTTAACTGAGCACAGTATGGAGCTGATGGTTAATCATGGGTAATCACAGATATTGGCATTACCTTTGTGGTTTATATAGATTGTGTGACATGGGCATTACTTTTGTGTGCATATTTTGCAGTGATTAATGATAGAATTATTTTTTTAGTATTTTATTATATACCTAATGTGTATCACTCAATTTTACTGTTGATTTTATGCAATCACGTGATGTGATTCGACTTTCCGGATCACCACATTTTGGTTTTCTGAATCCATATCACCACTCTCTGAAACTGATAATGTAGTACACAGAAATATGATGTTATTTTTTTGCATGTTAAAGAGTCCCTTGTTAATTATCATGCTTTGTTTTGTGGATAAATATTATTTGATTGATCTGTTAAGTTTTATTTTGCTTCATTTAGCTAGTTATAAGGGTGACTGTATATACATAATATGTAATAAATTTAATATGTTTTACGGTGTGACCGTTGGGGCGAGCGCAGTTGTACCATAAAAAAACACTCTAAAAATTGATCAGCCACTTCAAACATCAAGCCGCACGAGACATCTCGACTAGCTTTGACGTCACAAGACGTCACGGAGCTCGTCGGAGCTTACGGAGACAGCCGAGCGTCTGTTTGAAACTATAGACCTAGTGCAATTTTGGTTGAAAAACATTGTAGAGTTATTTTTTGTTTCTTTGAAAGATTTCTACTACCTGATAGCCTTTTATGCTTTACGTTATTATTTATTTATTTATTTGCGCAAAGGACACTGGGTATTCTAGGAATTCTAGGAATGTTTCACAGAGAAATTTGGCTGACGTATGTACAGATTTCAATCCGAATTTCCTCTGTTCTTACACGTTAGTCTATTAAGCTCGCTTTGCGAGCGTCACTGTGACGCTCGCTGCGCTCGCTATTATTATAACAGTAACTTGATCCGAAGAGTCGTATCACATCTCAATGACAGATCAAACTCAAAACATCACGTCTCGTAAGATCTGATGATCCGCACCTGTCAACTCGACATGATCTGACCTATCACGTCTCATTGACAGGCGCAGATCATCAGATCAAACTCGACACTTTGCGTCTCGTTAGATCTGAAGAATCTGCACCTGTCAACTCGATGTGATACGACCCTTTGGATCAAGTTACTGTTATGATAATATATACATTTATATATATCACTTTAGCAAAATTAGAAGTTGTTTCAAGTCAGGTTTGGCAAAGAAAGAGAGTATCTTCCTGTTGCAATTACAAGAGTTTTATAGAATGTACCAAAAACCTGTGGATATTTGTCACAGAATTATTTTCTTTATTTTGATATTTTTATGTTTGAATTATACAAAATCCATAATTATTTTTAGTGATAACAAAATAATAGAATTATAACTACATTATAGCAGATATTTTAGTGATTTCTTTTTTTAGCTCACCTGAGCCGAAGGCTCAAGTGAGCTTTTCTGATCACATTTTGTCCGGCGTCCGTCTGTCTGTCTGTCTGTCTGCTGTCCGTCTGTCTGTCTGTTAACCTTTCACATTTTCGACTTCTTCTCAAGAACCGCTGGGCCAATTTCAACCAAACTTGCCACAAAGCATCCTTGGGTAAAGGGGATTCAAGTTTGTTCAAATGAAGGGCCACGCCTCATTCAAGGGGAGATAATTGGGAATTAATGAAAATTTGGTGGTATGTTTTAAAAATCTTCTTCTCAAGAACCACTGTGCCAGGAATGATGAAACTTATGGGGACACATCCTCAAGTAGTGTAGATTCAAGTTTGTTCAAATCATGACCCCGATTGTAGGGCGGGGCCACAATGGCCGACCAAAGTTTTACATAGAAATATATAGGAAAATTCTTTAAAAATCTTCTTCTCAAGAATAGCAAAGCCATAATTGATCATATTTATATGGAAGCATCCACAAGTAGTGTAAATTCAAGTTTGTTCAAATCATGACCCCCGGGTAGGGCGGGGCCACAATGGCCGACCAAAGTTTTACATAGAAATATATTGGAAAATTCTTTAAAAATCTTCTTCTCAAGAATATCAAAGCCATAATTGATCATATTTATATGGAAGCATCCTCAAGTAGTGTAGATTCAAATTTGTTCAAATCATGACCCCCGGGGGTAGGGCGAGGCCACAATGGCAGATCAAATTTTTACATAGAAATATATAGGAAAAATCTTTAAAAATATTCTTCTCAAGAATAGCAAAGCCATGATCATATTTATATGGAAGCATCCTCAGGTAGTGTAGATTCAAATTTATTCAAATTATGACCCCCGGGGGTAGGGCGGAACCACAATGGCCGACCAAAGTTTTACATAGAAATATATAGGAAAAATCTTTATAAATCTTCTTCTCAAGAATATCAAAGCCATAATTGATCATATTTATTTAGAAGCATCCTCAGGTAGTGTAGATTCAAATTTGTTTAAATCATGACCCCCTGGGGTAGGGCGGGGCCAAAATGGCCGACCAAAGTTTTACAATGAAATATATAGGAAAATTCTTTAAAAATCTTCTTCTCAAGAATAACATAGCCATAATTGATTATATTTATATGGAAGCATCCTCAAGTAGTGTAGATTCAAATTTGTTCAAATCATGACCCCGATTGTAGGGCGGGGCCACAATGGCCGACCAAAGTTTTACATAGAAATATATAGGAAAATTCTTTAAAAATCTTCTTCTCAAGAATAACAAAGCCATAATTGATCATATTTGTATGGAAGCATCCTCAGGTAGTGTAGATTCAAGTTTGTTTATATCATAACCCCCGGGGCTAGGACGGAACCACAATGGCCAATCAAAGTTTTGCATAGTTATATATATAGGAAAAATTTTTAAAAATCATTTTCTCAAGAATAGCAAAGCCATGATTGGTCATGAGACTACTTTTGGATTTAAACTTTTCAATAATAAATCAATTTCTACTTTTTCCTAGCCACAGTGCTCAGGTGAGTGATGTGGCCCATGGGCCTCTTTTTTTCAAATATTCCATAAATTGATTGTACTTTTTAATTTTTTTTTTTTTTGTAATTTTTCTGATTACATTGTTTTTTTTTGGGGGGGGGTTATATTATTATTTTGTGATTACATTTTAATTAAGTGATTACATTGTAATTTTCTGATTCCAGACAGAAATAGAATTGTTAAAGGCCCACAACCACAGGCTGCTGAATTTTCCACCCCTGTCTAAAGTAAGTTTGTCCTGTAGGAGTTATCCCTCCTTGAGCCTCTTCAGTGTTTAAAATCAACTCATTAATACTTAATCCGTTTTTATAATAACATTATTATAGTAGTAATAACTGTTTGTAATATAATAATGAATTGCCATTACTTAGTGTGAAATCATTATTTCTTGTGGGTTTAATTCATTTCCTCCTCCAGAAAATGTCAAATTTTGAAACTGTATTACTTCACAACACAACTTCAACCATGAATTTATTTTTTCACAAATCACTATATTTTGTTCAAATCACAAAAAAACCTAGACCACATAAAGGTTCAAATTTTTGGTACAATTTATTGAATTTAGTTAAAAAGAATCAATTTAAGAGAAGCATTAATCATTATATATTTACATTTTTTTTCAAATTTGATTGATTTATTTTTATTTTATAGAATTTGCTTGATTTATAATTTATTTAATTTATTATTTCATTTATTTACAGTTAATTTTGTTTATAATTAATTAAATTGTTATTTACAGTCTGGGGACACGGCTGCTGATACTTCTCCTGTTCATCGGCAGATCTCCCTCACCCTCATATTTGGACATCATCTCAGGCAGGGGAAAAGTTTAGAGGTATAATCAGCATCAATAATGGCAGATATATTTTAGATTCCTAATTATATGTGTGGAATTAATTATCTCATAATATCACAGAGAAACACCACCCTCAAAATAATATTACACCCTTTTATTTTCATGGTGCTGAAATCTATGTAAAATCTCATGATCAACTGTCCATTCACGAATTATTATTTTCTCGCGATTTGATGTGAAAGAGCCAGTTCACGATAATAAGTACTGACTCATGAAAAATAAGGAATCTATAGTAGGTCATGCACAGTAAAATTGACTGCACTTGGTTTGTAAGGAAAGAAATTTTGTTGATGTGAACAAGTTAATAAGCTCAGGCATCTTAAGAAAAAAGGACAACTCTTAGATGGATAAAAAAGTCTTACAAAAAAACATAGAAGATGAAAATGCAAGTAGAGTAATTCTGTGTGTGTACGAGGGTTGTTAGAAATGTTCGCGTACAAGTTCAATTGTGAGCGCGCTATTTCCATGAAACTGGTTAAACTCTCCAGATAAAAACTTTACCATTTTTCCAATAAATATACCGGTACAAAGATTTGGTGTTTTCCGGTGATAATTAAAAAATATACAGCTATATTATTTTGATAAAACATGCTTCACCGAGCATGCTACTTTTTTTAACGTTTATATTACATAGACTTTTCAATGAAATTTAAAAAATGCACAGTTGTACCTCAAAAAGAATTATGAAATTTTACCTGCCGCTATACAGTATCCATAAAACGTCACTTGGCGAAATTTTGAATTGAATTGGATGGTGTATGAATGTTTTATAGCCATTTATATATCATCAACACGTAAAATGAAAGCCAAGAATGAGAACGTCATTGAACATCATGGAGCACCGAGCTACTAAAATTTATGTGCGTAGACAGGAAAATCCGAAAATGTCAAAAATAAACTAAAATGCTTCGAAATGCTGCTAGAAATTGTTTACACGTAAAAAAGACCATAATATTCAATTGGTAGTAGCTTCATAAGAATGGAGAAATTAATTATTTTTATTATCAACTTTCATGCGATACCTCATTTGCCCCACTTATCGCATGGATGTTGCGTCTCAGGATATTGCATTCTTTCCTAACCTTATCATGATCACATAATTGCGTAGACTTTCATTATAAGATCTTGCTAATATCCGAACAACACTTAAGACATTTTAAAAGAAAAGTAACATGTCTCGATATTGATATTTAATTTTTAAGTAGAAAAAAGACAAGAAAAGTCAAAGAAATGTAAGATACCTAGAACTAATAAAAATCTTAACGGGTTTGAAATCCGGTTGTCACATCACTAACATCAAGTGATTGCTCCAGGAATCCTATGACCGCATAGTAAAATCATTGTAAATTTTCAAATTTTCATAAATGGACCTGATATTTTACATACTAATTAACAAAAGATAGGAATTTAATTAGACATGGGTCACACTTCACAGTACACAATAGATTTTCCGTAAATCAATGTGTCCGCGAACTTTTCTAACAACCCTCGTACTTAAGTAGGCGGGCTTCATATTTAAGCTGTTTGGTGCAGACAATGCACTAATTCATAAATGTACTGCTAAGGAATCATTTATAAATAGAATATTTAGCACGGACATGTGTAGCGCTTATTTAATATGATTACACCAACAACTCCATATCCATTGATTGCGCTAAAGTTTAAATATGCCAAATCATGTACACATACAGTAATCTATCAGTAACCTGGAATTCATGTTCAGCAGGGTTCAAGACATTCTATTAGTGTTTCCTCTTGGAAATTTAAAAGACAAATTAAATATATTATTGATTTTGTGGGAAAGTGGGAACACTTTTCTTCAAATGTAACTTTGTAGCTTGTGTTGCTGAAAATTTGCTCATGTGTAAATAATTTGTGAGAAAAATGTTGTTGCATGAATCTCAGATGTCAATGAAGACCCACAAACATCTTATTAAACAGCGACTGAATTTAGTAATCTGTCAATCAAGGGTCATCTAGGGGGGTCGGAGGTCAACAAATGTCCAAAGCTTGACAAATCTGGCAGGAACAATAGTTGTTTCTTAGGGGGGATGGAATTCTGTCTTTATAGATTTGGTAGATGCTTGTTTTCTCCTACTCACATTGTTATTTCTGGGGGTAAATTTTATGCCCCTCTGACAACAAGCAACTGGGGTTACTAACATCAGATCAAATCAGCTCACACAATAGAGGCTTGGTATATTTCTCCCTTTACCCTCAGTAGGAGAAACCAACACAGAATGTCGGGCCCAAAGATAAACCAGGGGAATGCCTTAGAGATAAGATTTCAAGGCATACAAGAAGAATAGCTCTCTAGGTTGATCATTGTCTGTTAATCTAACCCAACTTATATTGACAAAGAAAAGGGTTAAAAATAGTAACACCCTGTAGTTAATCTCTGTCATCAAGTCACATGACATCCTCAGCCTCTTTTTGAGCTAGAGTCTGTCACTTTACATGTATTTCTACAGGTTCTAGGCATTTCACAGTGTTGTTTTGGGCTTCATAAACATCAGACTATGTTTTTCAAGTTTTATTTCTTATACATGTCATATATTTCTCAAGCTTGAAAACATTTTCTTCTCTACTTAAGTTATTAAGGCTATTAGAATAGTACAACTAATTTATATGATACTGTACACTGTACATGTAAAATTAATATTGTATTTTTTTTTTTTTTTTTTTGCATTTTCTATTTTATTAATTTGTTGCCTTTGTTGTTTTTTGATGCAAGAATGTATGACCTGAGTGTGAAAATACCTTACAAAGAGTGAAGTAAGCTGATTACTCAATTAAGGTGTTTTGTCTCCCTCAGATAGAATTAAGGTGGCTCGTCCCTCTCAAATAGAGTGAAGTTAAGTTAAGGTGACTCATCCCTGTCAGATATAGTGTATTTAACTCAGTTAAAGTGACAATGTCCCTTTCAAATGGAGTGAATTTAATTAAGTTAAGTTGACTTTTCCCTTTTAGATTGAATTGTATTAAGTAAGTTTAGGTGTTAATATTCCACTAAGACAGACTGAAGTTAACTCAATTGAGTTGATAAGGTCCAACTAAGATAGTGTTTACTTAGTTAAGGTGATAAGTTGTAATTATATAATTAAGTTAAGGTGATAGGGTCCAATTAAGATTTAGTTTACTCTGTTAAGGTGGAAAGGCCCAACTAAGATTAAGTTAAGTCTTTTAAGGTAAAAAGGTTCAAATAAGATTAAGTTAAGGCTGTTGAGGTGGTAAGGTCCAACTAAGATTTAGTTATCTAAGTTAAGGGGGTAAGGTCCAACTAAGATGTTCATAACTAAGGTGATAAGGTTCGACTTAAAATATTATTAACTAAGTTAAGATGTTATGGTCAAACTTGGATGAAATTAACTCAATTAAGACAACAAGGAGTCATGCAGAATTTGTTTTAAATTTGCATTGTTATAATGCTGGGACAAGGTTAAAAAAAAACCAAACCCAATTGAAGATGTTTTGGAAAAATGGAAATATTATCAATTCATATATTGAATGCATCATAAACCTGAGCCGAAGGCTCAAGTGAGCTTTTCTGATCACATCTTGTCCCGTCGTCCGTCCGTCTGTAAACTTTTCACATTTTCGACTTCTTCTCAAGAACCACCGGGCCAATTTTGACCAAACTTGGTACAAAGCATCCTTGGGTGAAGGGGAATTTAAATTCTTAGAATGAAGGGCCAAGTTCCCTCACAAGGGGAGATAATCAAGAAAAGACAAACATAGGGTGGGGTCATTAAAAAATCTTCTCAAGAACCACCGGGCCAGTAAAGCTGAAACTTATGTGGAAGCATCCTGGGGTGGTGTAGATTCTAAATTGTTCAAATCATGACCCCCGTGGGTTGGGTGGGGCCACAATGGGGAATCAAAGTTTTACTTAGAAATATATAGGAAAATTCTTTGAAAATCTTCTTCTCAAGAACCACTGGGCCAAAAAAGCTGAAACTTATGTGGAAGCATCCTGGGGTAGTGTAGATTCTATATTATTCAAATCATGACCCCCGGGGGTAGTGTAGATTCTATATTATTCAAATCATGACCCCCGGGGGTTAGGCGGGGTCATGATGGGGAATCAAAAGTTTTACATAGAAATATATTGGAAAAATCTTTGAAAATCTTCTTCTCAAGAACCACTGGGCCAGAAAAGCTGAAACTTATGTGGAAGCATCCGGGGGGGGGGGGGGGTAGTGTAGATTTCAAATTGTCTAAATTATGATCAATGGGGTAGGATGGGGTCACAATATGTATAACAAGGGGGAAATCTGGTAAAGAACAGAATGGCCAAAGCTTCTCAGGTGAGCGATGTGGCCCATGGGCCTCTTGTTTTTACCTCACGCAGTTTTATCACAATCAAAGTAAAACCTTAGCTTTTCACAGCATAGGATTTAACAGTGGGACGAGGCGAGCAGTGTATTGCCCCTTTACATCTTCAACTATTCCCTAATGTAAATGTAAAGATGTAAAGCTAGTATATGTGATATAGACCTGTTGAATACTAGACATAAGGCGAAACCTTGAATTCATACGAGAAAAAACGATATAAACTAAATCTGTTCTCCAATTAAATGACGTGTTACAACTTAATTTGAATAATAATTATTTACAAAGTTTTCCTATCGACGGAATATATAGCAGGAAGAATTTGTTACCATTAAGATTGATTTATTGTATATTGTGTAACGTCCCTCTCGAGAACTTTTCACTCATTTGGAGACGCCACCACTTGCCGATGGAGAGCTGCAAATTTTGTCCTAAACTCGGCACTCAGAGTCATTGAGCAGTGACGAATCTTTTTCGTGCCAGCGCCTACTGCGACACGAGACCTCGGTTTATACGGTCTCATCCGAAGGACCGGTCTCCACGTCCCAGAGTGGGATTCGAGGCCCGCGACCTAAGTTACCATTAAGATGGGTTATATATGTACACTGCGTGGCGGTCTAGAATTTCAACAGTCTTTGTTTTTCCTTTGTGTCGCAAATGTCACTTGTAGATTGACTGATACATGTAGGACCCACAAGGATACAACCTCCGTCACATAGAATTAAACCCCTCCATCTCTACAGCCCTTTAGCCTTCGTCAGTGGATTGGATGCGACATTTACGTCCGAGAACAATACAGGACAGATCATATCAGGTCCCCTGTACTAGCTACAGGCAATGGAAAGCGGGGAAATTAGTTTAAATTACGGGCAAATCAAGTTTGTTAAAATCACAGATAAAGGTGGGGTCATTTATATGTAGTGTGAATTTTTAAAAAAAATATCCTTTCGGATTTTTTTTTTTTGGTTGGGGGGGGGGGGGGGGCTTCACCAATGGTTTCAGTATATTTTCATTTGTATTAATGAAACGTCTTGTTTTGTATTTGTTCTTCGTTTGAATTGACTTTGTCATTTTTTTTAAGTAGGTTGTGGGAAAATTCAACTCTTTATCTTTTAATTCCCCGGTATTATTCCTTAACTATGTTTGACTGATTCCGCGTTTTTTTTATAACAACAGGTCTGATCATATAAGAGGGTAGACAACCCGCCGGGAACGTTTGTTTTTTACCCCGTGGAACACGCGACTTCTAAAGGGAGCGCAACTTTCCCCGGCATTCTTACTGTCATTTACGACAAGTGCCCGGTCAATTCCAGTGTTTACACATGCCAAACCCGTACTAACTTACACTATCTATTAGAAAATCATTCATCAACTGTTGGCAGTGAACAAGGGTTTTCTTTTTTGTGCTCTTCAACTAGAGTGGAGATGTTTTAAGTGCATTCAGCGCATCTGGACTCAAAGAAATTGATTTAGACGGCAATATTGGAGAGTCGGAGGTTTTAATACTCTGTTTATTTTGGAATTAAGACGTCCCATGAAAGCTACATTCCGTAGTTTCTTTTAAAAAGATCGGACACGTTTTTTACTCCAGAAAATTAAATTAGAGTCGTGTTTCTTAATCGCTCGTCGACAGGGCTTTGGAGATCGGCGCGGCTCACGCCGGCACTCAACTGTCGACACGTACTGCGGGGCTCTCTAAGCTTTTTGTTTTTAATTTAAATAGTTTTTTTCAAGACATGTTTTTGTGGCCACTTCTGTAAGAGTATGCAGCCATTCAAGAGATTTTTTTGCCTGCGCTCATAGTTCACTAATAAGCACTTTAAAAATCGATTAAATTAAGATTTCCCCCCTTCTTTAATTGTAAAGTATGAAAATGTACGGACTTTTGTATTTTTTTATTCATTATAAGATATATATGTATGGCTGGTGTAAATTGTTAAATTTCAACTTGAGAAAAAATTGCATATAATTTTCAAGCAGATGATAGGTATAGGTTATACATCGTTACAAACAATCAGAAGTTGCATGTCGGCTAGGCTTCTGATGGATTGGAGGGAGGGGGGGGGGGTTATTTGTTGCCATCAGTTCCCTGAATATTTTTCTTGCGTACTAATATCGTCATTATAAACAAAATCTACAAGTTTTTTTTTAAATTCTTTTAACATCTTTTGATGCTCTATTTCCTGCTCTCTATCGTGGATACGGGGTTGGTCTGGGTGGACATTAAAGGTGGTTTCTCTGCTGAACAGTTAATATTCTTTATGACTATTATTTTTTTTTTGAAAGGGGGTGGGGGATGGAGGCTATCTGTTTCATTCTGTGTATATAGTAATCACGTAAAATAAAAAATCGACAGAAAATTAACCGGTCCGTTTTAAGACTCTCGTTATAGCACTTAAATCATGATATAACAAAACGCAAGCTTTATACAGAACAGGAGCAGTTTACAACTTAAATGTCCCCTAACATACCAGTTATTATCCAATGTACTCGAGAATTTCACATTTATCTGAATTCATTATACTTTTACAAATTTTTATATTTTGCCTTGAGATAAAGGAAAAGTGCTAAGCAGATTTAATGTAGGGATTTTTAGAATTCAAATTTGTTTCCCTTTATTTATGAATTTACATTCAATTTTCCTTTTTAATTATCAGAAGGTTCCTGGCGGGGCCTTATTAAGTAAAACAGACCGCCATCCTGGGATGTATGGAGCCGAAGTCAATTGTTACATGACGGTAACGTCCTCACAAAACCACAAACTGTTCACGAAAAGTTCTTTCTACTTCAGATGATTTTTCAAAAATCGATCCTCTACTTATAGTTTAAAATCTCTCTCTCTCTCTCTCTCTCTCTCTCTCTCTCTCTCGTACTCATAAATCTAAACCATTAAATGGGGACCGTTGCATACGTATGTTTACTAAAGAAATCAATTTTATTTTCATATCATTGTATTAAACTCTGAAAATTAAACGTGTGTATTTATGTTAATTTTTTGGCTTTTTTTTTTTTTTGTAAAACATCTTTTAACATGTTACGAATTCTGAAGAGAGATTCATTTTCATACATAAAATATCGCAACTATTTTATCACCTATTTCGCTTGTACAGTATTAGAGTACGCAGCACTGAAGCAAAGTAATCCTGCATTAGCATGGTGCTTTGGGTAACGTCAGAATAATCAAGTATCTATTTTTACTTTGAAATTTTTTGAGATTTGAAATCTTTGTAGCTGTTATGTTCTATGTCAATTCGTCATTATGTCACCAGCCCAGCGTGACGCCGTGTTCTGCTTGATTTATCACGGCTAATATTTGGTATTCCCGTGGCGTTTTGGCATCAATTCTCCCCAATCCCCAAACAGTGCAGATGGAACTTATTTTTAAGGTCTTCCGTCTTCACGGAAGACCTTATAGTGATTCTATTGTTTCTTATTATTATTATTATTATTTTTCCGTACACCAAATTTTGTGCACGCGATTTCTCGAAGACTACTGGGTGGATTTTCATGAAATTTACAGAGATTATGTGTTGTTATCTGAAGTTATTTTTTCCGAGAGATTTTTTGAAAATTCGCTTCTGGTGCCAAGTTACGGGACATTTTCTGAATTTAAAATGACATTTTGTCTACGGTTAATCTCAAGAACGGTTGAACATATAAATGTGAAACTTTCAGGGATTATAGATCGTGATATTTGCTATCCAGGACGCGACCTTTTGTTCGTCGTCAATACTTCCGGTCGTTAGGACAAGCGAATTAAAAAAATTTATTTTCCAACTTTTTTGTTTTTCAATATTTTTCATTTATTTTTGGAATCCTAATAGAGACCCTTCCATTAATGCTTACTATATATTTTGTTTGAATATTTATAAATTTAAACTCTAGATATTAGCATTTGAAAATCTGAAGCGAGTCCAATATGGCGGCTGTCTCTGTCCACTCCGACATTTCGCAATAGGGGTTTATGGAGGCAGCCGAGCGTTTGCTTGAACGAAAGTAACATAAGGATAAATGAAGTTTAAAGGTATACTTTGATTGTCACGTCGTACTTACGTAACAAACGTAAATCTAATCCAAGGTCTTCTCAAACGTCTTCTATAATTGGTCTTGGTTAGTTGTCAAAGAAAGAAAAGACTAAAAGTACAAATGAAATACGAAATCGAGTATTTTTGTTTTGCACGACGGAAAAACAGATCGTATATCATAGTAATAAGAAATAGCTTTCCAAGAAACAATATCGATGTATATCTGAAGTATAAAGCTTAACTTTTGTTTTCCCATGCACACTTGTGTCAGATTATACAAACAGAAGAGAAAAATAAGAAAATCATAATTATTTTAAAAGATCGTTTAATGGAGTTCATATTTACATTCTTTTCTCAAAGATATTTAAAGCTATTGAACATAAATGGTATCTGATTCCTTGACCGTCGTAGGGCATTTCATTGAAGCTATCACACCTATTTAATGGAACATTCCAAAGAAAAGGCGCGAATATTTACTCGTGGCGTTTGGCGCGAAATTATGGATAATGGCGCGCCTTTCAAAGTTCTTAGACAGGTGTATTGTTGAAGAAGTATATACAAAAACATTCTGAGCAGTTGACCCAGTAGCGTAATTTAAGTGCGTTGGGAATAAAAGAGAAAAAAGTGCGTTGGATTTTCACGCTGGCGACCTGGATTCAATCCTCTTTGTGGCAATTTTTTTTCTATTACTTTTCAGCTCGATTTTAGAGGGTTTTTTTTCCTGAATCGGACGGAAGACCTCTCGTTGCTCGCAACGAGATCGTATCTAGTTTTTTATTATAATTTCATCGTTGTCTTTATTCTTCTTAACCACAAAACGTGCGTCAATGGTATACTCGCATTCACTTCTATACTCACATGTATTAAATATTTTTCATGTACCATACTTCAGTGATATACTCTGACATTTTTGCTCCTACATGTATTCGTACATGTACATGTATTAGATATGCCTAGTCGTGTGTCAGTGGTATGAAGACGTTTATACATTGTAGCATTACCATGATTTTGTTGTAGGAACACAAATGTCAGATGTGTACATGTATGTTGTATATTAATATTTATTGTGATTTTGTTGTAGGAACACAAGTGGAAGATGTACATGGAGTTAGATAATGATGACGACGATGATGACGTTCAACCTTTGACCTTTATCAAGGACGTCGAGTTTGAGAGCCTATTTTACGGGACGTTTCATATATCTCATGTAGGTCATCGCAACCTCTGTACTTTTTTCTTCATTTTAAGTTTAAAGTTAAAAAAATTCGAAGCTTTACCGATTTCTACTTCAGTTTAAAATTCAACATTTTAATTTTATCCAGAGGAGATTGTTTTGGTTGGATCTCTGTTGATAGCGCACGTTAATTAAATGCATTTGGTCAACGACAATTAATATAATGCATCTGCGTCTTCAGACAAAAGACTGTGTTCTAATTTTGAGGGACTTGACGCTTTTACATTAATCAAGATGATGGATAACCTTTCACTTTAATTATTTTTTTTACAGCCCCCATTTATTATGGAGAAGTGGTGCACGGGCATTGTAGAAAATATGAAAGTGGATTGCACAGTGCGCTTTGAAGTAAGACGTCAGGAAACTCCTGCTAATTTACTGGGCTCTCATTAATCATATTTTTAAGTTGTCGTTTTATTACTGTAACAATCTTTTTTTTTTCTTTTCGACATTGCTTGAAACTTTTTATGGCGTCGAGCTCTGGAGCTCGAACGACATATAGCATGCCTCTGATTGGAGTTACTATCAAAATTTACGCGACCGAATGTGTCAGTCGATGCATCCGCAAAAGAAAGTAGCACTACACATATACATAATTTCTTTGATTTTTTTTTAAAGTCAACGGTGAAGAAACCAAAAACCATTAAGTACAGCCATCAGGTCGATGCTTCATCCACGACCTCAGGACAGAAGATCGTGTCTCTGGTTCTACACCAGGTCACACACAGACAGACAGACGCGTCGTCACCGCCGTCACAGAAACCCCTCACTGTCTCCAAGTCCCTCAGCCACGTTCCCACCCCCACATTACAGGGGGACTGGCTAAAGAGGGAATTCATAAACACTGCCGTGCCAAATATACCCCAATCCAAATGTAAGAAAAAATCTCTTCATAATTTGATATACCAGTATATGTACGTTTCTGTTTAGAAAATATCACTCAACGATAAGTTTTTGGATGTTTCTTTTTTTCCTAATATTTTACTCCTGAAAATGTTTCATGGGTCAGATGCAGATGCACAGGCACCTGACGTTACTTATTTTTTTTTAATAAAAAAAATATACCTATACCTAAGTAACGTCAGGTGCCTGTGGTCAGATGATATATATTTGTTAAAATGAATTTATTTTTAAGTGATATCAATAGTATATTTCAATTTGAATTGATTCCATTTTAGCTCCAGATGTTTGGTCGGGTGTGGTGTCGGGAAGGAAGCCCTCTGTTCCAACAATCACTCGGCCCTCCAGCGTGAAGCCGATCCCCGGCACCCCTCTCGTTCTATATTCTGACCCCCGGTACCTCCACCACTCCGTCACCGCGCCGGGAAACCTCTCAGAGTCTCTCCAGCCACACTTGACTGAAATCTCAACGTCCTCACTGGCAAGTCCTGGCCCTCCTTCCTCAGGGTACGTCTCCGCCTCCCCTCATCATAACAAGTCCCCGTGGTCCTTCAGTCCCCGGGGGTATACAGGCGCGGGGACTCAGGTATCTACCACGATACCACAACATTCTGACCTCGGTGAAGCTAAGGTCACGTTTAATCTGACCAGCTCGGACTCCTCTAACAGTACCGAGGTGAACAGTGCCGAGAGCGGATTTAGCGAGAACAAAGTCGGTACTGAAAAAACCTACGCCTCGGTATGTAGTTCCTGTAAAAGTGAAATGAAAGAGCAGCCCGTCAGTGCTACCAGGTCTCGTCATCATAGCGATGGAGGACCGCGGCCTCGTTCTGGAAGAGGAAGTGACGTAATGATGCACTCCAGCGAAGGCTTTTACAGAGGTAGGGGTAACTACAGACGACAAAGTGAAAGTGGGCAAACTCCACACGAGAGGCATGTACACCGAGGAAAGGAATCCAGAAGAGGGGCGGATCGAGGTTATCATCACGGCTTTAGGAACGACTGGGAAAGAAAATATTCCGCCGGTCAGTCACGTGATCAGAATAGGCGGGGGAACCAGGAATGGCGGCCGTTCTCTGCGGGATATAGAGGGCGTAGCAGAGGTCGGCCCTACAGGGGTCACGCTCAGAGAAAACTGAGTGAAGACTATCAAAGGAGTTTCAGTGACCCGAAACCAAGGACAGAACGATTGAATGTTCCCTCTGACGATCGAAATGCGAACAGTGAAACGGGGGTAAATACACCTGGGGAATTTGGTGGAAAGGGTAACGAGGGGGTAAGAGACCCTGACCAGTCCAAAAATGTCAGGGGAGTGTATCATGACGGGGGAAGGGGTCGGTTTAACAGGGGGAGAGGGGGGTACTCGCGGTGAGATTCGATCGACACGAGGAGGTTACATGTAGACACAGGACAGATGACGAAGTGAGACCTCCAATCTCTTAAATTATTTCTTACCAATTCAATTACTATCTGTACCTCTGGAATTAGATTGAATTTCGAATGGCAAAAATACTCTGTGCGGAAAATGAAAAAAAAAAGAATGACGAATTTCTATTTTAGAACAAATATAGAAATGATTGAATACAATCAGAAAAGACATGGACAAAGTGTGAAATATCCTAATGCTCACTAGTCACTGTTTATATTTGCGGGACACTTCTTATTTATTTCATTAGACCGGTGTTCATTTTAAGCACCAAATTGACGTTTTTCTTTTTCTCCATTTTGGTAAATGGAGAAATACAACAATTCATGTTTTAGAGGGCATTTTCTGACTATGCAAAATACAGACTTTTTTCAATGCATGATCAGAAGTTACCTATTTCCACACAAAATCCCAAAAGTGCACAGTATTTCATTTATGAAAATAGTTATAGATTTGTGTTTTGATATTTTAATTGAGCATGAAAATTAATCTCCAGATTTCAGTATTTATATATTTTTTAAAAGTAAATGATTTATGACGTGGGTTCATAGAACATGAATTTTAAATCGATAATTTTTTTTAAAAATGATAATTGTTCTTATTCTATCTAATCATTGCATTCATGTATATTTAGTTTATATCATCTTATCATGACCAAAATATTGATATTGTGTACATGTAAGCCGAGTTAATACCGGGTTAATACACGAGCACATTGCTATCTATGTATTACTGTATGAAGAAGTTCGGATGATTCTTACATAGGAATATATAGGAAAAATCTTTAAAAATCTTCTTCTCCAGAACCACTGGGCCAAGAAAGATGAAACTCATGTGGCAATCAATAATCACTTATTCATTTGTATATTTTTTTTATTCCGCTGACATGGTCTATTGTAATCTTTTGATGTAATGAAGTATCAGTTTTCTGATGCTGAATAAATTGAGGTCTGTGATAATATTCAGTCGTTTTATTTTGTTTCCATGTATACATCAGGCCCGTAGAACGCGCGGGGGTGTTATTTTTTATGAGCATGCATGCTAATTTTCTGAGTTAACTTGTCGCTGTAAGGTCGAATTTATAGGATTTAGACGAGGGTGGGAGGGGGCTCTGCATATTATTTGGACCTCACCTGAGCCGAAGGCTCCTGATCACATTTTGTCCGTCGTCAGTCCGTCTGTCCGTCTGTAAACTTTTCACATTTTCGACTTCTTCTCAAGAACCACTGGGCCAATTTTGACCAGACTTGGTACAAAGCATCCTTGGGTGAAGGGGAATTTAAATTTCATATCCCCTCGCAAGGGGAGATTCAAGAAAAGACTAGGGTTTCATTAAATAATCTTCTACTCAAGAACCACTGGGCCAGTAAAGCTGAAACTTATGTGGAAGCATCCTGGAGTAGTGTAGATTCTAAATTGTTCAAATCATGACCCCCGGGAGAAGGGAGGGGCCACAATGGGGAATCAAAGTTTTACTTTACCCATGTATATTGTTAAAAATTTATAAAATAATTTGTTAAATTATAGTTTCACAACATGCACTGGAGATAAAAGTTTTTGAATATATAGGAAAAACTTTGAAAAAATCTTATGTGGAAGCATCCTGGTATAATGTAGATTCTATATTTATGACCCCCCGGGGGAAGGGTGGGGCCACAATAGGGAATCAAAGTTTTATATAAAAATATATAGGAAAAATCTTTGAAAATCTTCTTCTGAAGAACCACTGGGCCAGAAAAGCTGAAACTTATGTATCCTAGATTCCTAAATTGTTCAAATAATGACCCCCCGGGGGAAGGGTGGGGCCACAATAGGGAATCAAAGTTTTATATAAAAATATATAGGAAAAATCTTTGAAAATCTTCTTCTGAAGAACCACTGGGCCAGAAAAGCTGAAACTTATTTCCTGGTGTAGTGTAGATTAATTGTAAAGTGCAGTGTAGTTTTACATAGAAATATATAGGAAAAATCATAATTTTTACACCTGCATGTACATATGTTCAAATAATGAATCAAATTTTTATGTAGAAATATATTATACATATTTTGTATTTTTTTTTAAAAAAAAGCTGAAACATATGTGCCCATGGAAGGATCATGGGGTAGTGTAGATTTAAAAATGAATTAATTCATTTAGGATACAAAAATATATTGTTAAAAATTTATAAAATAATTTGTTAAAAATATAGTTTTACAACATGTACTGGAGATAAAATTGAAAAACAAAAAATCGCTTTGATCCCCATTTATATTGTATGCGGCAAATCCACACTTTCCTAAACTGGCAGTTATCATAATAGTGCAGTGTATACTAATCATAATTTTTACACCTGCATGTACATATTTATACATATTTTGTATTTTTTTTTAAAAAAAAGCTTAAAAATGAATTAATTCATTTAGGATACAAAAATTAGATATTTTTCCAAAGAATATTTTCAAAAGTGAAAAACTGATCCATTAGTCTCTAACTAGTCCTTAGAATTTCCTGGTTATTCGTCAGTATAAAGGAGAAAAGGGCGAATTTTGAAGAAAAAAATTGTGTTCATGTGACTTTTTGATACTGAAATTTGTTACTCCCTATTTCCTGCATGGAAAAGCTCGGCAAAGCTTTCAGAATTAAGGACGAAAGGAAGGATATAACTTTGACATTATTTGCAAGCTCGTATAGGATTTAAGGAATTTCAGTGGGGGTACCAAATATTCCTTGACAAAAAAAAAAAAAAAAGATAAAAGCCCATCAGACTATTGTTGTTGGGGGGCGTGGTAGCTATGTTTTCTACAGTGTTTATCATATCAGCAAAGTTTTCGGGGAAAGGCCCCTGCACCCTCCCTCCCCCAGTCCCCACAGTTATGTTTTGACGAAGAACATTTTGAAATATGAATACAATTTAATCTTGTTGCATGGTATGCAGACTTAATGGTATGTCATATGATGATCTTACATTTTGAATTCATAATATGCCGTGAACTACATTTTGAATGATTGTATGGTTTTCTTTCCCGGCATTTAGATGGATACCTGTGTCTGCATCTCGCACATCTTTTATATGTACTTTTTTTCAATCATGTCTTAACATGGGAAGTTATGCTTTACATTTATTTTTTTTTTTCTTCACATATAAATAAGGCAAAAAGACGAGAGAGTTAAAGTTTTCTCTGTAATCGCGTCCTCAAAAATAAATACTGAGGTAAAGGGGTGTCAGCTGCTATAAAATTTATTGTAGTGCGAGATCACTTAAATTGATACAGAAATTGAATAAATTTTCACATCATAAAATGACATTAGCTGTTTGTAGTCCCTTAAATTTTTCATTTGAAATTATTTTTCATTGTAAAAGGGCCAAATGTCAAAGCAAAAAACCTTTTTTAAAAAACACATGTTCACATACGATATAATGATAATTCTTTAATTTATGTCAATTTTCAAAAAGCCTCCACATCAAAGCTTTTACCGAGAAAAAAAATTAAATTATAGGATTTAGGGATTTTTTTTCTTTAAAATTAGTTTTAGTCTCACAAACAGAGGTTTTATCAGTTCAGAATCAGAAGAAATTCGTCGTCTTCTCCCTTCTCTGCTTATTAACAGTAGCTAATGGGGTCTTCCAAATAATGCGGATATCCATTAGTTGGTCGTATGAAGTGGACGGGTGAATTTGTACGGCTGTAATCTCTAAATCTGACTGTGAATTGCCTTTAATCCAGAGACATGAGTGAACACTGTCGACCGATTATCTCCCAAAGTCGCCTTTTAAACCAATCAAGGAGGTACATTAATTTCTAGACTTGTTGCCAATCTGTTATTTCGGCGTCAAACTGTTTTATTGCCATGTTCATTAATAAAATATAAAGTTTGGTTTTCTTTTTCTTTCTTTTTTTTTTCGTATTTCAATTCAATTATAGAATATATGGGATATTTCTCTGTGCACGTTTTTAAACATGTTTCAAAATACATAGATAATTGCATGTAGAAAACGTGTGCTTATACCTAAACATCTGGACAAATGTACATATATTATATAAATTTATTCCAATTTTATATACCATCTCTCTCTCTCTCTCTCTCTCATGTAATTACATATATATTTTGTAATGACTCTCTCTCTCTCTCTCTCTCTCTCTCTCTCTCTCTCTCTCTCTCTCTCTCTCTCTCTCTCTCTCTCTCTTTTAAAATCGGATTTTCAAAAATCTTGTAGTAATTTTTTTTAAAAAAAAGGAATTCTTTGCAGGGATTCCGGGGTTTATGAATTTAATCGGCGAGTTCTCGGTGCTTGTCTAGATAGGCATCGCTACATAATAAAACCCTGTCAAATTATGGATTGTTATTCAATTATCTCTTATTCTAATCCAATAATAATCGGCGCGTCGCACAGGCGGCCTATGATTTGGGGTCCCATATTTATTCCTTCCTGTAGACGCTTATTATGAATTTCTTTTCAATGTTCCTTTGACAAGCAAGAAATTAAATATACTGTGTTTTTCTTTCTTGCATAAAAAAGGATGTCGATTTTTTAAACATTTTTTTTTTCTCGACCTGTAGTCGCCACCCAAATAAACGTTGTATTAGCAATGAATTTAGACAAATTACTTCACTGTGTATGTTTTTATTAATTTGTGATATTGTTAAATTTGTTTTTAGTGGGTTTTTTCTCTTGTTGATTTGTTTCCTTTGCCTCTGCGAAATTATATATCTATACACTATATACAATTATTTCGTTTCTGTGTATATCCCTAAATTAAAAGAAAGTCACGACTTTAGGAATTTGGCTGTTTTCCACCGACCGAGAAAATTATCCCAAATCGTCCGTTTTTCTAAATTACAGTAAATGAATTTCTGTTACTCTCCTTTTTTATGAATGTAAAATCATTATGTTTCCAAACAGAAAGAATTATTTCATTTTTTTTTTCTTTTCTTTTAATTTCGTTATGGATCACAAAATGAAAAAAACAAGATGTGTTTGTGAAACACTATGCGCCCGGCGGCAAAAAAAGTTCCAAAAAACTCTTTAGTATAGAGGTCACAGTCAAAGTCACAAGGTCATTGACCTTGGTATCATTTGAAAGAACTTAGATAATTAGTGGAGTATGCATACCAAATATGAAGTTCCTATCTCCTATGGTTAAAAAGTTATGATGAAAATTCGAAAAAAGCTATTTTTAGCATATAGGTCAGAGTCAAGGTCATTGACCTTGGTGTCATTAGAAAGAGCTTTATTAGTGGAGTATGCACATTAAATATGAAGTCTCTATATCTCTCATGGTTCAAAAGTTATGGCGAAGGTTAAAGTTGACAACAGACAGATAAACAGACAAACAGACAGGACAAAAACAATAAACACCTCGAATCTATCGATCTGGGGCATAACAATAAAGAATTTATCCATGCATGCATAATATTTTTTTTCAGTACAAACTGTATATCATCGAATTCAAATAAATTGGTTCCCAAAGGGGCCCTGTCACAAGAAATAAACATTTGAGAGCCATACATGTACATGCTCCAACGAAAAAGTTGTGGGCACTGTTAAACTAAACTAAACCTAAACCGACAGACAGACAGACACACAAAAAAACAAAAACAAAAGCAAAAAAAAAAAAAAACAAAACAAAAAAAAACAAAAAAAAAAACGGACGAACATGGGAAAAGCTCTATACCCATATAACATCGAATCTTTGATTACGGGGACATTAGAGAGGAAAAACCTCCAAAACTGTACTTTTCAGTTCAAAATATATAATTAAAATGTAAACATCTT